AAAAGAAAAAGTGTTGCCTGTAACTTTTCGAAAGTTCTGGCCAGGCTGTAATTTTGGGATCCCCGAAATCTTTTTCCCGTAAGAATTAAATGGGTTTTTTTTATCTTTAAGGGGTTGTTTTTTCCTCAGTAGGTTTTAATTAATAAGAAAATCCTGCGACAAAGTTCATAATATTCAAAGGGTTTTACCCGAAATTAAAAATTCCTAACCTTTAGCCCCCGGTGTCAGCACCATTTACAAAGGTACCCGGGATTTTTTAAACCTGATGTGTATGAAAAAAATTCTTTACCCCTTTGGGGGAGTAAATTAGGGGTTTTGGGAAAATGGGGCACAGCTGCATATGCTCAATTACTTTCCCTTTCCCCTAATTTGGGTTTTTGTTAAAGTTAACTTTTTTATTCCCCTAATTCCAAGGGGAGCTTTTTTGAGCTCGTGATTTCCCCCCTTTTCCCCCCCTTTTTTGTTAAATCAAGTTTTTCTAGCTTTTTTCCTCCCCTGGGGGTTTTCTTTGGGGTTTTTCCCCAAAATTTTCTATCCTTTGCTCCTTTTCCCCAAATTCTCTTTAAATTTTTTTTGTTTCCCCCACGTACTTTAGGGTTGTTTTCCCCTGTACTCTAGCCTTTTCTCCTCACGATCAAGTCCCATCAAAGCTCCTTTTTTTGGTTTTTTTCTCTCTCCCTTTCTGTCCTATCTTGGTTTTTTTCTTTTAATTTGATCTCTCTCCTTTTTTTTCCTCCTTTTTCTTTCTAACTGTCTTTCTTTATTCTCCCCCCTATTCTTTCTCTCTCTTTATTTCCCCTTTTCTTTTTCCCCTTTTTGCTCTCTTCTCTCTCAAATTTTCTTCTTTCAAGTCCCTTTCCTGGGTCTTAGCACTAATGGGAAAAATTCTAAATTTTTCCCCCTTTTTTTCCCCAACTTTCTTCCAGGTTTATTCCAAAACGTATTCCTCCATACTTGCAAGAATAACTTAAACATCAGGGGAAATGAAACCCGGGGTTTTTAAAAAAAAGGAGGGTTTAAAACTTTTAAGGGGGGGAATTTGGTAAAAAAAAACAAAGGGGTCGATCCCTACTTTAATTTAAAAAATATGTTTTAAATTTAAAAAGAAGGGTTCTATGCCGGGTCCCAGCAAACATTTAAATAAAAAGGGGTCACTTGAAACCTTTCCCAAAAATTTCCCCGCCAACAAATCAAAGTGTCAACGACATTTCCCTGATAAAATAAAGAGCTTTAAGGGAAAAAAATTGTCACGGAAAATCTTGGGTCCCTAGAGTCTAATCCTCCAAAAATTTTTTTCAAGCTCGAAAAAGGGGGCAGAATTTTAAATATTTTCCGCCTTTACTTACAAAAAATTGAGGGCTTTTAAAAACCCCCAAATCTTTTAAAAACCTGTAAATGGGAGTTTCCCACCATGAGAAAATTTCTCATGGCTTTTGGGGGGAACCGTCTGTGGTATGCGGCGTTGAAGTTCCAATGGTTGATTCCGAGATGGAATGAATATTTATTCAGTAGAGTTAATCCTGGCAAGGTCGCCACTTGTGAAGGCTTACTCAGCCCTGTAACAACTTCAGTCAGTATTACCAAGGCTGGCTCCTCCTCAGGAAAATTAATGAATAGAAAAAGAAATAATAACAGACAATGATAAACACTTTATTATTTAGAAACGGAAAATGTAAAACAATAAAACATGAATGGGTGTCCTAATTGAAGAAAAATGAAAAATGAAATGAAAAAAAATTACATTTGAACTCAACGCTAATATAGGTATACAGTGGACCCCCGCATACCGATGGCATCACATAGCGATTAATCCGCATACCGCTTACTTTAATCGCAAAAATTTTGCCTCACATACCGCTTAAAAACCCGCTCACCGATTTTCGTCCGAGACGCGTCCAATGTGCAGCCTGAGCCACGCTCACATGTTCCGCCGGTGGCATTGTTTACCAGCCAGCCTCCGCGGTAACATCCAAGCATACAATCGGAATATTTCGTATTATTACAGTGTTTTTGGTGCTTTTTCTGGAAAATAAGTGACCATGGGCCCCAAGAAAGCTTCTAGTGCCAACCCTACAGCAATAAGGGTGAGAATTACAATAGAGATGAAGAAAAAGATCATTGATAAGTATGAAAGTGGAGTGCGTGTCTCCGAGCTGGCCAGGTTGTATAATAAAACCCCAATCAACCATCGCTACTATTGGTGGTACAGCTGCTGCTGCACTGTCAGCTGCTGCTGCTGCTGTAGCATCATCTGCTGCTGCTGTAACATCGTCTGTTGCTGCTGTAGCATCGTCTGCTGCTGCTGTAGCATCGTCTGTTGCTGCTGTACCACCATCTGCTGCTGCTGCTGCTGCTGCTGTAGCATCGTCTGCTGCTGCTGTTAACATCGTCTGCTGCTGCTGTAGCATCGTCTGCTGCTGCTGTAGCATCGTCTGTGCTGCTGTACCACCGTCAGCTGCTGCTGGTGCTGTAGCATCGTCTGCTGCTGCTGTAGCATCGTCTGCTGCTGCTGTAGCATCGTCTGCTGCTGCTGTAGCATCGTCTGTTGCTGCTGTACCACCGTCAGCTGCTGCTGCGGCTGTAGCATCGTCTGCTGCTGCTGTAGCATCGTCTGCTGCTGCTGTAGCATCGTCTGTTGCTGCTGTACCACCGTCAGCTGCTGCTGGTGCTGTAGCATCGTCTGCTGCTGCTGTAAGCATCGTCTGCTGCTGCTATAGCATCGTCTGTTGCTGCTGTACCACCGTCAGCTGCTGCTGCTGCTGTAGCATTGTCTGCTGCTGCTGTAGCATCGTCTGCTGCTGCTGTAGCATCGTCTGTTGCTGCTGTACCACCGTCAGCTGCTGCTGGTGCTGTAGCATCGTCTGCTGCTGCTGTAGCATCGTCTGCTGCTGCTGTAGCATCGTCTGCTGCTGCTGTAGCATCGTCTGTTGCTGCTGTACCACCGTCAGCTGCTGCTGTAGCATCGTCTGCTGCTGCTGTAGTATCGTCTGTTGCTGCTGTACCACCGTCAGCTGCTGCTGCTGCTGTAGCATCGTCTGCTGCTGCTGTAGCATCGTCTGTTGCTGCTGTACCACCGTCACGCTGCTGCTGCTGCTGTAGCATCGTCTGCTGCTGCTGTAGCATACGTCTGTTGCTGCTGTACCACCATCAGCTGTGCTGCTGCTGCGCTGTAGCATCGTCTGCTGCTGCTGTAGCATCGTCTGTTGCTGCTGTACCACCGTCAGCTGCTGCTGCTGCTGTAGCACCGTTGTTGGTGTGGCTTATTGAGAATACCAAGAAACAATTAACCCCAGAGGATTTGCCACCCAGGATAACCCAAAAAAGTCAGTGTCATTGAAGACGTCTAACTTATTTCCATTGGGGTCCTTAATCTTGTCTCCCAGGATGCAACCCACACAAGTCGACTAACACCCAGGTGAACAGGGAAAAATGCCTGGAACTAGTGCTCATAATGGTGAATTTAAAGCCAGCAAAGGTTGGTTTGAGAGATTTAAGAATCGTAGTGGCATACACAGTGTGATAAGGCCTGTTCTGGAAGAAAATGCCAAACAGGACCTACAGTACTCAGGAGGAAAAGGCACTCCCAGGACACAGTGTCTCTCAGTCATTGCTGCATCTTCAATAAAGGTAAGTGTCATTTATTCTTCATTTAGTAGACTAGTACATGCACAATATATACTGTGCATGTACTACTCTACTATTGTGCATGTATCCTTCTCTTTGTGTGTGGGATAATGTATATTTCATGTGGTAAAATTTTTTTTTTCATACTTTTGGGTGTCTTGCACGGATTAATTTGATTTCCATTATTTCTTATGGGGAAAATTCATTCGCATACCGATTATTTCACATAACAATGACCCCTCTTGCACGGATTAAAATCGGTATGCGGGGGTCCACTGTATCGTGGTAATGGGGTGTCTGGTGTTGGTGACACTGTGTTGTTGAAATCGTAGCCGTTGCTGATGTGGGGGGGGGGGTAGCAGGTGTTGGTGACCTCCACCGGCTCGTTCTTCACAGAGTGTAGCCGTGAATAATTACTTGAGATGACAGGAACACAGGTTCGTTACCACTGCTATGATGAGGGGTTAGGTCCTGTGTTGGCTTACAAAAACAGGTAAATAGGTTAAACATGGACGTTAGTCTGTCTCCTTCTTCTCGTTGGTTGGCAGTTGACCCTCTCTGTCATTCCAAGCTGTAAAGAGAGACAGATTACCCATTGCTTAAGAAATCACTCTCCATGATAAGTACAATTCCTAAAAGATGTGGTGATTATTAAAAAAATTTAACAGATAAAGACTGAAAGGACTAAGTTTAATTATTGGTCAGAAGTGAAGCTTTCAACCAATAAGTCACTAAAATATGATCAGGCGTGTACTTACAGTAGTGTTGGGAGCTGTGAGTCCCAGTGATTTACTGTTTGACCGGAGCCCTACACATCACCTTTCGGGGGGGGGGGGGGGGAGGGGGGAAGAGGGAGGGGAAGGGATAGCGGGAGCTAGACTGACCCTACCTTAACAAGCAGGGCCCGGGAATCAAACTATCACTTTCGGGGACGGGGAAAAGAAGGAGGGGGGAATAGCGGGAGCTGGACTTACCCTACCTTAACAAGTAGCCAGCAATGAAACATATTGTTACTATACACTCCCTCGCTACTCCTATGTATTGAACTTTTCCCTCACACAGTGCAACCCGCCTAACATTAATTCTGGTCCCCAGGCTGGCCTGAATTCTAGGACTGGCCATGTCGGTTATAAGCCGTAATACAAACATACAAATATATCCCTTTCTATATATAATTAACATGAATAAAGGTCTCTTTTAAAATGGCAACAATTCACTAACACATACGATAAACGAAACTAAGCGATGGTTACAAACATTCTGAAGAAAGTAGCCAAATGATTTCAACTCGTCTAAAATTTCCTTTCCTGTTGTTCCAATAATAACAAACAGTTGCCACTTATTATACACTAACATAATTTGTGTGTTTTGTACAGCGTGGCGAGTGACTTGGCCGACCTACTTGGGGGAACAA